GAACACCATTTCGAATTGGAATTAAAGAATCACTCTGGCCTTTCCTCATTGACAAGAGATGGAGACAAACGGTTTTTCATTAGCACATGTTTATTTGTGGTTTTTTGTTTTAATGAAAAGTATGGTATGTGGCACTTTTTAAAGAAAAAAAAGGAAATAGTTTTGTATGAGCATTCTTCAGTTGTGACTCAGTTTTTCAGGTAAATGATGCTCTTGCACTAGTGAAGGTATATAAAGAAACTTAAAGGGCATTGATGCCTTGTTTGCATTAATGATTTTTCTCTTTATCATTTTGTTCTGGCTTAATTTGCGGTTTGAATAAAATTAAGGTTCTTAAATATCTGAGAGCCAGGATGAAACAGATCTGCTGTAAACTTATTTTGGATGAAATGCATTGTTCACTCCCATAACTTTCATATTTTCAGGGTTTTTTTTTTTGCAGCTGTTGACTGTTGTACGTTGATTGTTTTCAAGTGTGTGAAATTGTATAAAAATCATTGGTGTTATTTGCTTGAGCTCAGATCAAATGTTTGAAGAAAGAAACTTAATTTTTGCAACTTAAGTACAATTTTTATGCTTGAGATACTTCAACATGTTATGTATAGTGGAACTTCTGAAGCCTGTTGCCTCCTGCTTTTGTAGCAGTGTATGGTAAGCACTTGAGAGTGTGTATGTGTCTTTTTTTAATATAAATATATAACTGTCCTTTTCACTCCATGTTGCTAAGTGATATTTCATATTTGGTGATACTAATAATAATGGCCCTTGTAAGTCTTGACTGCTCATGAATAATAAATACATACTGTTGGCATGTAATGCTTGGTTTTCTTGTATTTAGTTATCCTTTTAAATGGAAGGACCAGCTGTCCAATTGTTCTTTTTTGGTGCACTGAATTATTTTTCCTTTTTTTTTTGTACTGGGCATCAAACCCAAGGGTGATTTACCACTGTGCTGTGTCCCCAGCCTTTTTTTTTTTTTTTTTTAAAGTTTCAAGACAGTCTAAGTTGGACTGAGAGTTTGCAATCTTCATGCTGTCTTAGCCTCTCCAGTAGCTGAGATTACAGGTGTGTGCCACCACACTTGGCTTGTTTCATTAATTAAAAAAAAAATAATTCTTGTAACATCTAATGCATAGGAAAAAGTGGTTAATAATGAAGACAGATGAGGCACCACTTGGAATCTAGAATAATATTGTATCTACTTGTACCAACTGATTATCTAAAAATATAATCTTGTTATACATTTACATAGAATGTTCCTTCTGAAGAACGTAGAGTATCTATACTATGTAATTTCAGATGACTCCAGTCTTTTGAGGGGTGGCAGTGGTGCCTTTATTGGCCAGGTGGCTATTTGAGGGTGGATGAAGTGGGAAGAGTGGGTGGCCCCGATCAGTGCCAGGCTGGCCATGCTTCGGGCTTGAGGTGATAGAGAACTCACCCAGGTAGTGGCTGATCTTCTCAGGCTTGATCTGGATGTGGCTGAAGGTTTTGGCGTCGTAGACACTATGCTGCCCACCATCTCAGGCAGGAAGATCCTGTCCGGAAGGTGTGTCTTCCCCTCTGGCTTCTCCAGGAGCGCGTGTGCTGCTTCTGCCGCAGGCCGCGGTGTAGCCACCACCGCTACCAAGCACTGTAGACCTGCATCAGCTGTTTGTAGGATACGTCCAGTAGCTGGTAGGTAAACTTCCGGAGAGTTAGCTGCTGCTTCCGCTCCACTTCGCCCTGCACGACCGCGGGTCTGTGGTGCGTGAGAGCCCGAGACCCACATTGGGCCGACGGAAACCCACAGGGACACACTACCCCAAGGCCGTCTCGGGGAGGGTCCTGTGACCTGGGCAACGGGGTCTCAGCCCGGACAGTTAGGTCACAGGTCCAATAGGCCTTCGCTGCCCTAAGTGGTCTGGAGAACCCCCGGGCTGGCCCTTGGGCCCACCAGCGGCGCCAGAGGGTGGAAGTGGACTACCACAACTGGGCCTGACCCGGGCCCTCACCGGAGGCAGGAGCTCTGGTGGCGCAGGAGAGGCCTGCCGGCACGGCACGGCACGGCACGGCACACGGCACGGCACGGCACACGGCACGGCACACGGCACGGCACGCAGCACGCCACGCAGCACGCCAGGTGAGCTTAGTTGTGATACATTCAGGTCCTAATAGATCAGGTAGAGTGGCTCGCACGATTTGGCATCTTTTATTTAGGGTCCTGTGCAGGTACTTTGCCTTCACTTTTTAAATGCTTTCCCTCAGTATGCTTTTATTCTCTCACTGGACTCAGTATTTGTTTCTGATTTGCTAATTTACTGAGGAGTAGAGTGGATCAGATTTGTGTAATTTGTTTAAAGTAACACTTTTGGAATTAACCAGGAAATACTTTTATTGAATTACCTTGGACCCATGAAGTAGAATTTTGAAAATTGAGACTTGCTAATCTTTTAAAAAATGTTTCCTGAAGGGCCGGGGATTTAGCTCAGTGGTTTCGCCGCCTGCTGCGCAAGCGCAGGGACCTGAGTTTGATCCCCGGTACCAAAAAAAAAAAAAAATTTCCTGAGTGCTTCTAAGGTAGGCAGCATGGCAGTTGGGTTTGACGCCCACTGAATTAAAGCATGCTGGGTTTCACTTGCTACAATCCATGTAGTACAATGTTGAACAGTTTCAGAAAGTAAAACCTCTTTTTCTCATTTTTTTCTTTTTTTTGGTACCAGGGATCGAACTCACAACCTTGTACTTGCAGTGCCACTGAGCTAAATCCCTGGCCCTCTTTTTTTTTTTTTTCTTCTCATTCTTTTGTTACCACCTCTTTTCCACCTTTGCGAGAAACCAATGTTGATCAGTTCCTTGCATATATTTCTAGAGGTACAGCGGTACCTAGGTTCACAAATTTAATTCTTTCCACAATTTTGGTTGCAAACCAAATTGGATGAGAACTGAATCAAATTCCCCATAAGGTCAACTTTGAACCTAAACATTGAATTGGATTTGGTTCTCATCCAATTCAGTTTGCAACCAGAATCGTGGAAAGAATTAAGGAGGATCGTGAGTTCAAGGCCAGGCTGGGCCACATATACTGAGTTACATTTAAGGCCCTTTCTGGAAAACCAGCCAAACAAAAACTTGAATTTATGTGCATGTAATTGGTAATTGGACACATTCAAATTTAAATATGCACTTATGAATGATTTATATCAAAAGATAGCCATGAAATTAGCCTTACCTACAATTGTTTTGCTTTCTGTAGCATTCATTTTGATTCTGATTTATAACATGTATACATACTATATATTACTGGACAGCTCCAATTTTTTTCCTAGTTAAAATAAAAAAATGTTGCTGTTGAAATACAAGTTTGGTTATAAAGGCTTCAGAATGTTTTAATGTGAGGTGCTAAAACTTATCCAGGCTAGTTAAGCACTTTGGCATGTTGAAGGGCTGGCTATCATTTTTCTTACATTAACCCCCCGCCCCCCCCAACACCTTTCTGTGCTTACTCCATCTTAGGCCTTCTGCAGGTTGAGAAAGTGATGGTTCTGGCCTTCAGAAATGTTCTTCCATAGTTAGAATTTACCCAGAAATTAGAGGGTTAGTATAAATGAGGGAAAAAAATACAGGCTTTGTGAAATGACACCAGGATTTATCTAGTTGGATAGCCTGTCTCTGAGCAGCATGGGGGATTATCATTCATAATGACATTGCAAAAGCTCTTAATTTCTTCTGATGACCCATTGCGGATCCATCATCCATGATCCACATAAATCTGCCAAACTTTAACAGTCTCTGGCTACAGATGAGTTTATCAGGTCCAGGTTATTTATTTTATTTAAAATCTTGAAGAGTTTTAATAAGATGTGAATTGTGGTGAATAGATTGATCTTATCTCTATCTTAGATTTTTAAACTGTTTTTAGTTGGGAAAAGAATCACATTAAAAAAACCTAAAACATAAATATAAATCAAAGAATACTCAAGTACCTATCATTCAGGTTAAGAAATAGAAATAGCACTTTACTATATTTTACCCCTATTGTGCCTATATTAGGGTTTCCTAGAAAAAGAAACAAAAAGGTGATGTGTGTGTGTGTAAGTAAAGATTCTTATTATAAAGAACTGGCTCATGCAATTATGGAAGCTGACAAGTCTCAAATCTATATGGTGGACCAGCAGCCTAGATAGAGACCCATGGGTGTGATGTTGCAGATGCATCCGAAGGCAGTCTGCTGGAGCAGGCCAGCCTTTATTTACTTAGGCCTTTGTGTGATTAGATGAGGCCCACCCACATTATGGAAGGCAAACTGCTTTACTCAAAGTCCACTGCTGTAAATGTAAATACTCAAAACACCCTCACAGAAGCACCCAGAATAAATTCAGCCAAATACTTGGGCACCCATTTGCCCAGGCAAGTGGTCAGATAAAACACGTTAACCATTATGGTGTCAAATTTCTTTCCAGAAGTAACCATTTCCACCCCTCCCCCAATTTTTACTTTTGAAAAAATTGTGGTAAAATATACATAACCATTACCATCTTAACCATTTTGAAATGCGTATTTCAATAGGGTTAACTGCCTTCGCACCAGTTAAACAATCAATTGCCAGAACTCTTAATATTGCAAAAGTGCAATTCATTAACAAGTACTCTCCCTTACTCTTCTCCCATTCCCCTCACAACTTCCATTCTTCTGTCTCAATGAATTTCCTCTAGATACTTCATCTAAGTGGGATCATTCAGTATTTAACTTTGTATGACTGATGTAGTTCACTTAGCATAAAAAGTCCTCAAAATCGGGCTGGGGATTTAGCTCAGTGGTGCCACTTTGTGCCTCATCAGTGTAAGGTCCCAAGTTCGTTTCCCGGTACCAAAAAAAAAGTCTTCAAGATCTTTCTGCGTTGCAGCATATGTCATGATTTCTTAACATTTTATTTTATTATTTGTGTTGCTTTTCTGAACCATGGAGTGCTGAACTACCTCCCCAGGCCGTTCGTTCATTCATTCATTCATTCATTCAGAGACAAGGTCTTGCTAAGTTGCCCAGGTTGGCCTTGAATTTGAGATTCTTCTGCCTCAAGGCTCCCAACTAGCTGGGATTACAGGTGTGTGCCACTGCACCCAGCTTTAACTTTTTAATACGGAATAATAATCTGTGTGTCACATTTTGTTTATCAGTCTGTTAGTGAACATTTGGGTTGCTTATACCTCTTTGCTGTTGCGAATAATGCTGGAATGAACATGGATGGCAAATATTTCTTTGAGACTTGCCTTCTAGTTCTCTCATTTTTTTTTTTTGTAGCAGGGATCGAACTCGGGTCCTTGCGCTTGCGCAGCAGGTGGCGAAACCACTGAGCTAATCCCTGGCTCTCCCTTCTAGTTCTTTTGGTAAACACTTGACATAAAGTTTTTGGATCTTATAATAATTCTGTTTCTGATTTTTTGTGCAACTATCATATTCCATAGTGGCTGCACCATTTTACTTCCTCACTGGAGGTCACACAGGTTCCGGTTTCTCCCATTCTCATCAGCTATTCTAATGGATATAAGGTGGCATCCTGACTTTTGTATTAGTATCTTCACAGTTATTTACAATCCATAATGTGTCTCCAACTGTAATTATTTAGATTTGAAAAACAGGTACAAGCACATACCTAGCCAGAGACAGAAGGGGCAGTATTTCCACTGCTAAGAGACAATGCTGAAGAGATTAACTGGCTTCAGCTTTCCTGACACTTTACTGAGTTACTTGGGGCTCACTGGGCAAGGACATGAATGAGCCTTGGGAAAATTGGACCTGCAGGATAGTGTTTTGTGAAGGGACTGTGTGGTCAGTAA